ATGTTTTTATTAGATTATTCATATCGAAGTAAAATCGATTGACGTAATTAAATTGTTTATAAATTTAAAATTATTTTAAAAATTGCGTCTATTTTTGATAAGTAAATACGATATATTTAAGTAGCGAGAAGAGGTTTTGGATCGCTTCTTGATGGCGTGTTGTTGATCCATTACCGCAAATGTTCCGAATATCAAGTAATCCTCGTTCGGTCGAATTTTTTTCCTCCCTTTTTTTTACGTAATGTAGACAAGTTTCTAAAAATACAAGATTCTGTGTTGTACGAGAAAAGGAATGAATGATAAAGTTGCAACATGTTTTTATTAGATTATTCTCATGATGGATTATAACTTGTCCGTAATATATAGAATCAGCTGTTATTTCACAAACTGTCGACGAAAAAATGATAAATGTTCTTTGAGTTAATGAACATTTCGAAATCGTTCTGCGGTCTTCTTTAAAGGACTAGTCATAAGGAAGTATAGAGTATTGTAAGTAAAGAAAAACATCCGTTAACACGTGTTTTTAATTTTCTTACAATATTTAAATTTAGTTTCGAATTCATATAATTATATATATAATAATATATATTCATGTATTCCTTCAATAAATATAAAATTAATTTTTTATGCTATTATTATAAATCATTATTATTAAAATTTATATTTTAATTAACTTGATATTAAGCTAGAAAATTATTCAAAATTTTGTTATAAAATTATTAATATTGATGAAGCCAATCAAATTTATAAGTTTTAAATTAAAAATTATTACTTAAAATTATCTCTTTAAAAAGTAAAAATATTAGTTTATGTAATTCGAATGATTGAATATTGATTTACAAATTTTTAATCACGTGTAGAATTTAAGCTCGGAATATTTAATTTAAGGCAAATATTTTAAATGAAAATTTAGGGATTCATTAGAAATTTTATGGTTATTAATAATTTAATCCCTTATTTTATATCGGAGAACTAATAAAATTTCGATATAACACGACTAAGTAACGAGTTTCTTTCATTAAATTTTTGATAAACTCCGCCAAAGCACGAACAACTTAAGTTCATTATTGCACTTTGAAAATTAAATTCTGCTATATAATCTTTCTTGCCATCAACTTATTTGAATTATTTAATTAGTATTTTTTAGCTTTCTAAACCGATGAATTTCTAAGTTATAACTTAAATCCAAATTTAAATATTAAAGAAAATAAGAAGTTTTATTTTATAATAAACATATACTTATTACTTATAATTTTTTTAATAATTAAATAAACCTATTTATATTATATTTTAGCGAAGGACAAAAACACCTTTTTGTGCACTTCTGAGAATCCATCATTCTTTGCTTCTATGAAAAAATCGATTATTATCAGACTCAAAATTTATTTTAGAAATATTGCATCGTATACTAAAGCTTTTTTTTTTCTTTTTCTTCTTTGGCTGCTCTTTTCACTTCTATCTTTTATTGAATAAATTTAATATTTTTCAATGCAAATACTGCAAATAGAACTCTTTCATATATATATATATATGAAAGAGTTATTATGAATTACTAATGACATCCGCAAAGGATAATTCTCAAAGAAGTTGCTATTATTCCCTTTTAAATACTTCAAATAAATACTTTATTGTTTAATAATAATAAAAATAATGTTCTAAAATATTTAACTATAATAATAATAATCATCATTATTTATTCTAATTAAAATGTTTTAAAATATTTTTGTTAATTTTTTTAAAAATTGTTACTAAATTTCAAAACAGCATTTTAAAAAAAGTCTAATTTCTGTTCATTTATACGTTAATTACGTGCTTTGAAAGTGTTTTTTAGTATACAAAATACACTAAAAACAAGCTAATGATTTTATATTTATTACAAGTATAATTTACATAAAAATGAAAGTTTCTTTCACAAGACAAAAAGAGTTTTCAAATAATTTACTTTGTATGAGGATAGAAAAATATCTCAAACATTATTAAAATTTTACGCTTAATCTCTTGGTTTATAAATAGTTTATTATAAACACTCTGAAAAAGAAAATAGTAATATTCCCACAGGTATACATTCTAAAATATTTGAAGCT